AAAGAGAGGTAATGAGATTTGTTTAATTGCTCATCAGCTTTCGTGTGGGATGTTTTGAGATGTTTGTCAAGCCTGTACGGTGGAAAGTATTGATTCATGTAAATGATGTACTGATTGAGGTTATGCAGCGCTGAATATTTTAATAGATTTATAAGCTTGTTTACTATTTTTGTACGAGTTCCTGATTTAAATCAAACTGTTGCTGCTGGAGCTGCTTGCATTTAGGAAACCTGACTTCTTTTGTGCAATTTGTTGGTTGAAAAAAAAACCCAAAAATCTTTATTGCATTTGCATTAATTATTATGATATTAAATTCCAGGCAACACCTAGCTCTGTGGCTCTTCCCGGCTGTCAGTTGGTGGTGTACCAGGGGATTTTCTTGCAGCAGGTAACCAGCTTGGCATCAGCTCTGCGGTTACCGCTGGCGTGGGGACTCATTAGCGTGTCTGCTTACGGCCGTCTCTGTGGACTGAGACTCACCATTCAGCACCCGCCTAATGAATTAACACATTAAGATGAAATGTCAGCCATTACATGTGAATGAGGATTAGAGAAGCAGCAGGACACTAATGGAGCACAGGCCTCAAAACAAGTCACAGAGACTTTGAACAAGCATCTGCACCGTCAACTCTCTTCAGCCCTCAAAAATAGACAAGGGAGACCCGAGCAGCTCTCTTTTTCATCGTGTCTTTTGAAATGTTGCCTTTATTGCTTTATGGTGTTTGCAAAAATGTTGCTTGAAACGACAGAGATTCCTCATGGATTTGGCCAGTGCACCGACACACACACACACCCACACACTCATCCTGCTGCAAACACTTAGCTGAGGTATGTAGTTTGTTTCTGTGGCGAGCTACACTTTGCATATCAGCCTGCCATTGTCTTTTAAAAACTTTTTATTTTCCCCAATTTGAATATGCTAATTTGGTCTCAATTGTCATTCACAACCACCTGGTATCCGCTGCCCACCGACTGCTGCCAAACCTCTGACTCACTGTGTCTCTCACTTTCTTTCTATCTGCCCTCGGAAACAGAAACGGGAGAATCACACCAAATTCTCCCACCAGGTTTTTCTGTGTGACTGATTAGAGCGTGTTGTAATATTTGCTCTTCCTGGGGATTATACGTCTTTACAAGGATTACCCAGCCTGCTCAAACACTCCCCTGCGAGAGAGGCACACACACACACACTCACAGAGGGCAACCTCCTGTTAAACTGCCTCACTACCTGCAGGCCAGATGAACCTCACACCGCTGTTTAAAGAGAAGCATTCCTGCATGAGCTTTGGATGCTTAATCTCAGTCTATTTTTGGTATTCTACAACGTGTAACACCAAACTGTTAGCTCTATAAAAATGTCATTAAACAATAAAAAAAAGATCTAGGTGAGTCCAAGATGCCATTGCATAACAGCCTAGAAACTGATCATAATCATTTTACAATGAAAGAAAACAGAAAAGCAGCAAATCTGCACATTGCAGGAGCCACAACTGCTGGATGTTTGACATTTCTACTCCCTTAATGACCTAAATGGTGAAGGAATTATCGCAATTACCGAACCGATCATTTGAGCCCTGCTGTTTTGGTACCAACTGAAATGCGTCCACAGCAGTCAGATGTGCTGAAAGCTGTTAAAGATCTCTCGTACAGTTCAAAGTTTCTTTTCCTGTTTGCGTCATTGTAAAAATGCCTTTTGAAAGCGAGTGTAACTCAGGAAGTAGCTCCACCGTCCAGCTGCTCTGACTGTCACTGTTCCAGCGGCGGCGGCCTTCCCAGTCGCTGTGATCTTTACGACTGCAGTGGAAGCTTCAGAATCTCCTCACATCCTGAATTTTCACTTTCTGCTTCCTGTCCCATCATCTCCTGAGCGGGATCCACAGATAAGGAACTTCCCCTCTGATAAAACTTGTTACGAAGAACAGTGCCTCATAAAATGGCTGCTTCTTTTCCACTGAGATGAACATTACTCGACCTGTCCAGTGTGTATCCTCCCTTCACCCTAAGGGAGGAGAAAGAGGTGTGTAGGTAATAGATGAATGGATGGAGGGATGAACACTACTGCATGTATACTTGTTTGATTAACACTTGCAAGTAACTGCAAACAGATAGGTGAAGAACATGAGATTTTTGCTGTAAGGTAAATTGGCCACTGCAGATCAATTTCATTCTAATATGGAGAAGTGTTTTGAACTTTATTGGAGACAAACACATAAATATATGATATCATTTTTGATCTTGTGATTCTGATAGCCAGAGCATAAACAATCATGTGGAAAAATAAGTACATTTCTGGAAATTGTTTGGTTTTATGACAAATTTCTAACAGATAAATGTGCTGCTCTTCTGTGGGAAACGTGAGTCAGGATAAGCTTATACCACCCCCTCTAGCAGCAATAACTTCTGGTATGCATTTTGTATAACTGTCAAACATGCTAACATTTCTGACCAGTCTTCCATTAAATACTTCTTCAAGATTTTTGAGTTGCAAGTTTTTTTCTTGTTTTTTTTCACATGCCTGTTTCAAATCCCCCCAGTAACATTTCAATGAGATTCAAATTTGAGGCTTTGACGAGGCCATTTTATAACCCTCCATTTCTTCTTTTTGATGCATTCGTGGGTGGATTTGCTGCGAGCTCAGGATCATTATCCTGCTGAAAGGTCCACTTTCAGCCAAGCTTTCAGACAGATGGTTTCAAATTATCTTCTACGACCCAGAATTCGTAGTACAGTCAGTGACTGCAAACGGCCCAACCCCTGATCTGTCCTCTTTAAAATACTACAAAATGTCAATTATGTGTGTCAGGTATGTCACCTTTAATAATCCGCAATGTTGCTGAGAGGATTAAATGTTTGCTTGTTCAGTTGGCTATTTAAAAAAAAGCCAACTATTTCCATGGGTCATACTTTCCCCCGTATGCATGACTGTAAATTACATGACTGTTGGGCAATACAACAAAATACATCATCTAATGAGATTTTGCTGTAACATTCCCATCCAGTGGTCCTATCTCTAGCTGTTGGCAGGAGAATAGCTACGTGGTAATTATGGAATATTGTATCATTTCACATCATGTTACAAACTACTTGTTTTGTGAAGTATTCATTAAATTAACCAAGGCCACATTTGCTGTTCCACCTTCTAAAATTTTAAGACTTTCTTGTTGCTTTACAAAATGTGATAATAAACATCTTTGCATTTTGGCTGCTTGGGTAAAAAAAAAAAAAAAAAGGTCATTTGAGCCTATGAAACTGTGTAATTTACCAATTAAATTCTTTGATATTGTACTGACAAAACTAAGAATTTGGTTTCTTCATTGAGAAAATCATTGCCATGTTACTTGCTAATGAGAATAATTGTTAACTGCAGCCCTGCTGTTTATAACATTCTGTATATTGTTATAGAAGATTTTGTTCATATTGCCAATTCATTGTGACTCCTTGTGTCTTATATGAAATCTACATTTGTTCAGGTGTTCATTGGAGTTTAAGTAGAAAGCAACTGGCTTCTTTTTTAGGCTCCTGTAAATGTTTCACTTCTCATTCAAGAGGCTTTTTCAGTTCAGATGCTTTCTACTGAAGCTCCCAGGATTACCATGATCTGAATGACTGAGAATCGACACATGCAACATATTGCTTAGGTGTGTTTTTTAAAAAAGGTTTTTCCTTTCATTTTTCACCACTATTTGAACAAAAGCTTGTGTTTCTTTCTTGAAAGTTTGTGCTTTATTAATACTGAGATCTGAGAAATTACTTTATGTGGTGATGGGCAGAGCTGGAGCCGACTGTGTTTTACTTTGACTTGCAGATGGACACAGAGCTGGTAGAACGAGCAGCAGTGATGAAATGTGCCGAGATGTCTGAACTTTTTGGGGTGTAGTCCTGCATCCGTCTGTGTGTGTCTGCGTGTGTGCCCGAGTGTTGATTGTGATCTGATGGGTCAGTTCGTTGTCCATCATTAGAGTGATAGTGGGTCTGTTGTCATGCCATAAGGTCGTCAGTGTTAATGAGGGCCGCAGCCAGCTAGAGCTTAATGACTCTTAAGACCCTTTATCTCCAATTGGCCAATACAGGCCCCATTGGATGCATATACACATGAACAGCAGTGCACACCCAACACACACACACACACCCTGCAGACCATCAGCAAACATCACATGGGCAGAGTCACAATACAAATTAGATGGGTGTTTTTTTTCTTTTTCTTTTGCAATTTCTTTAAAAAGTTTGAATCCAACAGTTGATTAACTTTTAGATTTACATGAACTGTCTTTACTCTGCAGCTCCTCCTCCGCTGCGTGTCAACAACTAGACGGCTGACTGCGCAGGAGTGACGGAGGGCTCAGGGGTCGAGGGGCAAACTCAACAGGGAGCAGTCTCTAACCCCCCCCCCCGGGATGTCACCCCACAAGGGCTTTGGGGGCCAAAAGTCACTCAGTTTGTTAAATCCTAACTCAGACATGACGGCTTCTCTGGACACACAGAGCTGCAGGTTGTTGTTTTTTTTTCAAAGTGCAGTGTTAAGGTTCCTTGTGCTGCTTGAAACCATCAGTAGATAAAAACAGAAGAAGAGAAATTAGTCAAGTTTTTTGCCAAAATATAAGTCAGGGCCCTTCTAGTTAGTGATACGTTATGAAAACTGTAGATGGAGCTAAAGAGCAAATGCCTCCTTAGTCTGGAACAAGGTCAAAGGTTTTAGTAAGTTGCGGTGGCATAGGGGAATGTGATGGAGTTCATGAGTCACTCAAATCAGACAGTCAACAAAGGGAAGAGTGTAAAACAGAAAACTGAAATACACATGTAAAGTGCAAGTTTGTACTAAGAACAGTACTTGAGCATTTATGTGGTTGTAATCCACCGTTGGATATGATCTCTGCTGATACATATCCAACTGTTCTTGCTCTGTAAATTTCTCTCTAAATCACTAATTGCATATTATGTTTGATTCTTGTTTATCTATTTACTCATTACTCAAGAGACTGCATCATTAACGAGGGACGTGCTCATGGTTGCCTTTGTTTTATTGTGAAAATCCAGAATTGCAGCCATTATCTCAACACTATGAGCAACTATGACTCATGTTTAATGCCAAAATAAACTAAATGAGAAGCGATTTTTGCAGTTTTTAGTTCACTTTGAGTTCTGAATGTGAAATTAAAATCCAGCTGATGGAGATCTATGGTTTGCGTCCAGCTTGTTTGATGATCACTCTCTGCTTCCTGTTGCGTGGTTGGGACTTCTTTGCTTCAAGGACACCTTTTTCTGAAATAGAGCACACATACATATGGAGCTTTATAAAAGCTGACGTTTGTGTGTATGTGGTCGCAGAGGATGATTAAATGTGTACCTGGTTCGTCTTCTTGTGGCTGGATGCAGACTGAAGCCAGAGTGAAGAGGGAGAAGATGACGAAGGCGATGATGATGAAGGTCAGCTCAAAGCCAGAGAATGGCAGTTCCATCTACACAACTGTCCGACACAAAGCAGGCTATTAGATTATCTAACATCTGCACATTAAGGTAGCTAATTAATGACACAGAAGCTGACAAAGAAAATGACCTCTTCTCTCTGACACTTCAAATCTTTGCCATTGAGCTGTGTATTTAGTTTGTTCGATGCTCATTTAGATAGAAGGCATATCTACTTTTGCATTTGTTAGCTCATCTCTGCTTGAACATGCATTTATAGGTTTTCTCGTAAACCTTTCTGTCAAAACACATGCTTTTTTATTTTTTGGCCTTTTTGGCCTTTATTTGAGAGTGCAGTTGAGAGAGAGAGACACAGGAAAGTGAGGGAGAACAATGGCCATGAGCGGGATTCGAACTCACAACCTCAGCGTCAGCCCCTGTACATGGGACACCCCCAAAACACATTCTTTTTATAAGTAACGTGTTCCATAGCTTCCAGATTTACTCAACATGACTTGAGATCACAGACGGGTATCTTTTTTATCTTTCCGTTATTTAAAAGGCTTATTTGTGATTTCAAACACGTGCGCTCACAAGGTTCTGACATGAAAAATATCACATTTTTTTTCCCCCTTTTATCCTTATGCAACATCTATCTCTCTAAGGAATTAATTTAGAGCCGCTCTAGGTGAGCTGAAAACAAAAATGAGCTGTGTAAATCTGTGCTCTTGGTTTAGAAACAGTGCTTTCAGATTTGTGAAGCCATGCACACAGACTGCAAATCCAAATGTACCATTTGTAAACTAGAAGCAGATTCACACGTGGGCCTTTCTCTTTCTTTTTTTTCCCCTCAGATGACCTTTTGCAGGGAAGCTTTATAAGTCAATGCTGCCATCCACACTGTGAAAAATGTGTTTTTACAATATCAGGCTAGGATAAGTGTAAAAAACAAACAAAAGTAAAGTATGTATACATGAATAGTGTGTATTCACTTTCAGCAACACGATTGTGGGGTGTTATACTAATAAAAATACAGAAAAAGAAGAAGAAGCTTTATTGTCATTGTACAAGAAATACAATGAAATTTCGTTTGGTATCATCTTTGCAGAAGCTAATATGGTCACAGTTTAAGAAAAAAAAGTTAAAAAGCGATATAAATAATAAAAAAGTAATAAAATAAATACTCTATTAAAAGTGCAAAAGAGCATTTGTTAGATTCCTGCAGCAGTCTCTTCACAGCCATGGGAGAAAAGCTGTGTTTTAGTCTGTTGGTAAATAAAAGATAGATAGATAGATAGATAGATAGATAGATAGATAGATAGATAGATAGA